TCGATCATGACCTAATTAATTTAATAATAATTTTTTTGTATAGATTATGACATAGAAAGCGTTACCTTTTATTGTACAACTTAAAAATCAATTAAAAAAAAAAAAAAATCTTCAACCCATACTTACACATACGAAATTACATACATACTAATAATAAACACATGTAGTTCGCCCCCTGATCCCTCAACTTCCTTAATTACACTCTAATCTTACACCTACCCTTGATTTTTTGTAAGCCAACGACCCGAGCTTCTTCTGGTTTTTTTTGGTTTCCCGCCCGGTATCCGAGGCTTCGCCTCGATTAATCCGGACATGACCAGCGTCGCGCACCTGGAAATGGTGGGTGAGTCTCCCAGCGGAAGCTGCTGTATACACAAGGACTCGAACTCGAGACCTTGCTTAGGCTGGAACAAGCCGCTTACCACTTGATCCAACCCCTCGTTGGTGAGCTTCTTTTGGTTACATCAAAGTAAAGATGCAGGCACAAAGTGATTCATCCACTCGTCTGTAATTAAAAAAACAGAGTTTCAGGTTCAAATTTACAGTCTTGTTTTTGTCCTTCTTTGATCCAATGTATTTTGACATTAGGAAAATTAAAACAGTACTGAAAAGCTAACAGAGAAAACTAGAAGAAGGTTATGAAAAAAATTATTCAGTTGTACGGTTAATTCCGAAATCTTCTAATGTCTCTAACATAATTCAATAAGCTTCATAATTCGGTGTGATATTCCCATTAAAATATTGGTTAAAATTTTCAGTTTGAACTGATACTTTCTTGTCTCCAATGAAAAGGGTTGTCTGATGTTATTCTTGTGTAGGAATCAACAACCGTGTCAATTGTCATCCGGATGAAAAAATGTAGTATATCTTGTTTCGTAATGAGAGCATGAAGAAGAAGAATCAAAGGGCTGCAATAAAAAAAAGACAGGATGGGTTGACCTTCCATCTACAACTGAATCTTAGTCCCACTGATATGGCAGCAATACTCATTCCCTAACCTTTCAAGAAAGGATTAGGCCAAACCCAATTGTTTAGCATGATGAATCTTTCTTTGACATTTTCACTGGGAATTTAGTTCCAGAGGGCTTTTGATAATTCTGAGAAACCTCCATGAGAAATTTCTTGTATTGACAATCCACATGTATAATAAGCTTACAATTCAGCTGGTAACATTATCTAATAGCCTCCCTTCCTCTCCCTTCAAACCAAACATACTAAAGGAAACGTAACTCGGTATCCATGTTCCACGCATCATTGTATTGTGATCAATAAGAGCAGAATAGATAGTAAATAAAGTTGGAACCATGTATAAAAAAAATTGGGTCACTTTTATATCTCAATTAATCAAGAGCAGAATACATCAGTATCAGTTTACATCTGATCTTAAATGAGATGTAACCCCAGATGGAAGGGGTTAAAAGAATAAAGCCAAGCTGCCAGTGCAACAGAACACTAGCAGTGACATGAATCAAATTACAATGTTCTGATACAATATGATATGCATCATTCAGCATATACCAAAGAATCTGACAACTCTGTGCTCTGCTAAATCCAGATGAATTTGAAACTTATCCAAGAACCTGAGATGAATGAAACATGCAAAAGCAACATAATTCTGAGAAGTGAAAACAATAAACTGTACCACAAAATTTCATTAAAATCTGATAGCAGACATAAATAGACTTGAATTGTGGAACTTGCCCCTATATTAGTATATCAGTCACAACACTGTATCCTCTCCAGTTTCCTACTGTTTTTGTACAGATGAGAAGTTAATAGTTAAGAGCAATTATTCCTGAGAGTGAATCATCATTTCATCAAACATTAAGCCAGACATTTGCTCAACAAAAGAATGTCACCAAGATGACTTCAGACTACAGAGTTTTGAGTTTAATGATGGTGACTCATGGTTGTTAACAACTAATTCGTTCCTCATTTTCACAATTACAATTCAACTTTTCAATAGTCCGTATAACAATTAATCAATTTTTCTATCATTTCCAGTAACAACAATAAATGCATTGTTGAAGCAGGTTGTACCTCAAGATAAGATGACAAGTCCAAGATACATGGCTCCACAAAGAAATACAAAGGATATCATTCCCCTGCAAGTGCCATTCCAAATGATAAGCTAGCAGCATGATGTAAAGATGTGCAACATTTATAACTTAGCACACCATGTATTGCACTGACATACTTTATCTTCTTGTCCTGTTTTTCTGAAAGTGTATTTTCCTTATATTCAACTATCATCCTATTAGTCAACCCACCCACCCACCCCCCACACCCCCTCCCAAAAAAATAAATAAATAAATAAATAAAAGAAAACTACACATGCTGATTCTGAAGCCAAAACTCTCACCATATAACTCCCCATCCGACCCCATTGCAAGGACAAGGGCAAAGATCGGCAAACTTCTCGGCATCACTGGAGTTGACCCTTCGAGATATCAGATCATCATAAATGTCTGCATCAATTATATTGACGTTATATAATGTGTCCAAATCATAATTTCAATAACAGCCGCTTAACATAATATTGAAAAAGAAGAGAAGATATATTATAGAGATTAAAGAAAAGAAGAGAAGTATAAATTACAAACCATAGACTGAAAACAAACTGTTCATAACACCTGCAAATTCACCAACTGGATCAAGTTACTTGACTTTCATACAAAATATTCAACAATGTTGGTACTTTTTTCAAGAAAGAAGGAAAGACATGACAATGACAAGCATATACCAATGAAGAGAATGACGTAACGTAGAATACGGACTTTTGTATATTCTTGCAGAAGCCAAATTACAACAAGGAAAATAATGAATCCTGTAAAGTCCAGATTGCAAACACAAAAAAGGGAAAAAAGAAAAATGTATAAGCCTATGCACTACAGGCGATAAGAACAAAATTCAATACAGTATAGATGGTGCACTCACCAATACAAAGTCCTCGAAGTGTCCACTGTTTGAACGGCAGTCACAGAAAAAGACTTAAAAGCTCAGGCAAAAATAAAGCTTGATGCCTCTCTTTCAAAAATATAAATAACCAGAAAGAAAATAGCATCTGAATTTGACTACAAATAGGAAATATCAATTTAGTAACAAGCATCTTACGTTTTTAGCAACAAAGAGAACAACAAACAGAGAAAGGGCAAAACAACCAGCAGCTATTTTTGCAGTGAGGAGATTTGTGGATGCGAGTATCAAAACCATTCCCCAAAATGATGAACCAAGATCTGGACAGACCAATCATGACACCATGAATGCCTTTCAAGAAGTAACTTGAATCGAATCAAATCAAAGATTACAAATGCAAATAACTGAAAGTATTAAATTGACCTAATAACAAACTGGGTCAAGTCAAAGGGAAGAAAAAGCAAAGTTTAACATTTGAAGATCCTAATAACAGAGATAAAGAATGTAGATAAAAAATCACTACTTTTATGGGGGCAGGTTGTTTGGATCAAGGAAATGGCAGAATACAGGCAGAGAGACCTGCCTTCAGACATGCTCTCATCTATTTACTCATTATGCATGGTATTGGGCCTTCAATCAAGGACACAGAGGACAAAAATAGGAATACAAAGTTATGTGTTATGTCGATCAAACTAAATTGCATTAGAGTTCTTTAAAAAAATACCAGATGAGAATGATTTCAAGATACCCATTTTGTACTTGTTACACGATACATAATAAGAATGATGACATATTCTTGTTTGAAAATAGAGTTTTCAAGGAGAAAGTGTATTACATCCAGCAGGCAAGATCAACCAGTATATACCACCACGTGTCAGTGTCAAACCACCTTCATTTGCATGAACCTGGATTCCTTCAACCTGCATATTAAAGTGAGAAATACATGGGCAAACACAACTTAGCACCAGTGTAATAGGTTCTAATAGAATGCTCAGTTAATTGAAAGTAGAAACTGTTTGCAGCAGTATTCAAAACAATTATCTTTGCATGGCTCTGGAGGTTTTACAAGTACCCAGAAGCCAGACACCTTGCATTATTTTACTAAAATGTAGTATGTACTTCATTTATGATGAGATAGGTCATAGGTGGATCTGGACAAGTAACAAGACTATGAAATATCAAAAATTTGTGTAGGACATATAAATTGGTGTTGGTACCATGATGTGTACAAGAAATTTATAATGATTATGATGTATGGAAAATAAATATGCAAACTAAATACATCTATCTTGCATGGTAACGAGACAACAAATAACAGATTTCAGACCATCCTGATTGTGCCTCCAACCATGACCATTTAGAAATAAGAGAGTGATAATAAAAATTCTCAAAATCTAGCTGAAAAACAATTGAATGGCATCAGATTATCCTTAAATTAAAGCAGAAAAAGAGTTGAGAAATCAAACCAACTAGACTGCAACAATGAAATTATGTTGTAACTATACATATGATGTGTAATGTGAAAGAGATGCTTACATCACCACAGGTAAGTTTGCAAGCAATCGCATGGCTTGCTTCATGCAAAAATACAGTGATGAGCTTGAAAGGCATCAGTAGTACTGTCCTCCATAACTATAACAATCAGAAAAAATAATTTCACTTCAAATGGTTAAATAAGAAAAGAAAGGCATAAAATTCACAAGTCAGGATAAACAAAGTAAAACTGATCTTTTACTGCCAGAAAAAATTATCATTACTAAATTTGCCCAATTGACTATAAGGCTCAGCCAGCTAAAACAAGATATGATTTTGAAGGAACTCCAATGAAGAAGCATAAAAGGGGTACAAATACAATACAGCTAAACCTTATATGATGTTTGAGATGTTTACACCAAAACTAATGGTACATTCTAATGTAATGTCACCAGATTCTGCATACACAATTCTCAAAACACTGCCCTTGTTAGTCTAATGCTAAGCAGCATCAGTTAACCAATGTTAGATTTAGTCAACTAAAGCCATATGCACATACAAAAAGTCAATCTTTCTTTGTATATGCAACATAAGTTTAAAATCACTGCAAAGTCTGTTTGATAAATGTGCTAAAAAAATGCATAGATAAAAAAAATGAATTGTGTTCTCCCCTCAAACAGGATGTCCCGATAAGTAATCGCTCTCACCAAGTTTACCCTTCTTGATCTAAGTCAAATACCAATCCTCTAATCCTTAAAGAGGCAAAATTAAAGATAAATTTTTTATATAGATTTTCGTTTCCTTAACTAACTCAAAAACTAAACAGAGCAAAGCAGAATGATGGGCAGGAGCCGCAGGAAAAAAAGAAAAGAAAAGAAAAAAAAAAACTTACAGCAAGGATGACGACAGTGAAGATACCGATTGTGGCCATAAACACCTTTTGGTCATGGTTGCAGCAACTCTTGAGCTCCCAATTGGCCATTCTCTCTCTCTCTCTCTCTCTCTTCCTTCCTGCTTTAAGATTGTTGAGGGTAAAAGGAACAAAAGGTTTTTCCCTTTATGGGATGTTTGGGAGGGGAGAAAGTGAGAGCAAAAGCAGAGAAGGAAAGAAAAGAAACTGGGGTGGATCAACTGCACATGGAGGGAATTTTCAACTTCATCAAATTTTTATTTTTGATTCTTTCAGTTTCAGGTTTTCTTAGTCATGATGAAGAGAGAGACTTGGTCATGATTGAGGAGCGTCTTTATCTTTTCCTATTTTTCTTCCCAGTAAAATTGGGTGGGTTTTGGTTGCCCGCTCCTATCACAAACCAGTTCATAATTTCCAAATCATTTAAAAAATGAAAATTGCAATTCTTTGCCATTGTGATTTTGGATGGATACATTTCAACTCGAAAGGTTTTCAAATTTTGCATATAACCTCCCGTTCCTGGTCCGTACATCGATTAGCCAGAGCCTAGAGGAGTCCCACCGACCACCGTTAATAAAAACAATGAAAAAACAATGTTATCCCTTTTCCCTTCCCCCTTTATCTTTTCCTCCTTGTCCAAGTTAGAAATCTACCTTAATATGTCGATCTTGTGGAGATTTAATTGTTTTTAACTTGAATAAAATTTTTTGTAAAATCATATTCAAATTGGATGATAATTGCAATTGTTCTACCTAATTTAAGACTTGGATTCTTAGAATTTTAGTATTTCAAAAGCCTATATAGTTGTCTAATATGTTTCAATCCACCAACTAAACGTATATTAAAAATTTATTTAGGCCCAACAAAGTTTATCTCTTTTTCTTTTTTCCTTCCTTTTTCCCTGTTTTCCTTATTAAGGTTCATGTGACTGTGACAATGAGTATTGCATTTAGTTAGGAAGATCATGTCGGCACAAATTCACAAACAACCTAATACATATATTATACACTTTCAAAAGTAACATTCACCACTAAAAACTAATACGTCACATATATATATATATATTTAGATTCTTATTTTATTCTTTTGAGGCAAATGATAAGTTTAAATTTCATAACTATAAATGGAGAATTTTTGCTTTAATATTATTGAAAATTGGATGAATTTTATGAGATTTTACTTTATTTTATATAAATTTCATTATTTGTACAGAAAAGGACTTAATCGGGTGAAATTATAATGTTTAGAACCAAATAGAAGAGATCAGTTACCTGAGGATTAAAGTGTGCAGAAACTAGAAGTTAGGGATCAGTACTGTAATTTTGCCATTAACAAGAGTGCTTAAAACGCCAAAATCCTGGCACAGCGCACGGGTTAACCTGTCGGCCATTATTCTGGGGTGTCGATCCCTTCCTTCGGCCATTTCAGCAACCCCGCTCCAGCCCAGTCACTGTTGTTTTGAACTTTGGAGTGAGTCCCATTTCAATTTCAATTCGATATTCTAAAACCCTATAAATACACATTCAGAAAAATCAAAACCGTTAAGGAGTTTTGGGAAAGCTCTTGGCAGCAACTTTTGGACTTTTGGAGATCAAGAGTAGATAATAAAGAATTTATTAACAATAAAACATCAAGGGTTTTAAGTTTTTTAAATTTGGTTTTGATTTTATAGACTAATTTTATTCATAAGTTGATATTTTTATGTTCATAATTAGGAATTCAAGATTTAATATTTTTATTGTAAATTAATTTAATTTATTAAGATTATGATGTAATTTAATCAATTTGATATAAATTTTTATAATTTTTATGTTTTTTATGTAATGAATATATATTCTTATTCTTAATGTTTTTTAATATTTGATTATCATTAAAATTTATATGGAGAGTATAATTGAGTTTTAGAAATTGTATACAATAATTTCTAATAATATATATCACATAAATTAAACGAAAGGTAAAAATAAACCAATGTGATTTATATAGTATTAGTGGATTTAATTTTTTTTATATAAATTAGGAAATTTTACTGTGTATCTTTATTTATTTAAACTTATATAAATATATAATATGTTATTAAGTGAAGATAAGTTTGATATAAAATATATCAAATAAGATAAAAGATTTCATAGTTACATGAGTAGTAAATATTTTAAAAACATAATTTTTTTTACTAAT